TGTTGTCCGTCCACTCAAAGGTTAATACAAATTGAAGGATTTAAACAAAAACTCCCTAACATTTTAATTTGTATTCATGAGCTGTTCCATCAGACTAGAAAGTTTAACTTGGTGGCCTCATTTTTAACAGGTAGAGGTACCTCTTCTGTTTGCCTAGGTTAATATAATGGACGAATTCCAATGATTTTGGATGCAGAGTGATAATCAGGTCAATTCCATTTTCCATTGATTTTCAGTAAAATTGTAGATTTTTTTCCATGCATCAAGCAACACATTCAAGAATAAATAATTTCAAATGAAAATTGAATAAGAGAAATTAGGATGCAGAACATCATTTAAAGCTTCATGTACTCACAGCCCTTTGCATCACTTCCTCATAATCTCTTAGTTTGCTGCCTCTACTTGCTTCCTAGACACGGCTGTTTCCTAAAATAATAGCTAACACACACAAGGTAGTATTTTATGTCTGCCACACAGTGTTCTAGAACCTTTCATCTATTAATATTCATGATTGCTCTGTCGAATGGGTACCATTGAGATCATCAACATCCCCGTATTACAAGTGAGAAAACTGAGACCAAATGATGGCCTTGGCCACTTAGGTAGTAAATGCCAGAGTTTGAGCTTAAATGAGGTAGTCTGACTTCAGAGTTTTCATTTTAAAATATTATTTCTGTTATTTATAGGTAATATAGGTACTGAAAATATGTATAAAAAATTATAATTAATGAACACCCTTATTACTAATTAAGACAAACACCCTTCTTACTGTCCCTAATGTTAAGAGAAAGAAACTTGCCAGCCACACTAGAAATCTTCATCTTCCACTTGTCTCTTAACACCCCTGATACACAATTGAGACTTTTCTAGACTTGCATCCCTACTATTTTCATAGATTTATAAAATATATATATGAAAAAAAATAAAATAAAATAAATAAAAATGGGCAAAGGACCTGAATAGATACTTCTCCAAACTGAACATACAGATGGCCAAGAGACATATGAAAAAATGCTCAAAGTCACTGATCATCAGAGAGATGCAAATTAAAATGACAATGCGGTATCACTTCACACCTGTCAGAATGGCTACCATAAACAAATCAACAAATGACAAGTGCTGGTGAGAATGTGGAGAAAAGGGAACTCTTGTACACTGTTGGTGGAAATGTGGACTGGTGCAATCATTATGGAAAACATTATGGAGTTTCCTCAAAAAATTAAATATGTAATTGCTATTTTACCCAGTGCTCCCACTTCTAAAAATATATCCAATGAAACCTGAAACACCAGTAAAAAAGAATGTATGCACCTCTATGTTCATAGAAGCACAATTTATAGTATCTAAGATCTGGAAACAGCACAAGTGCCCATCAGTAGATGAGTGGATAAAAAAAATCTGTGGTACCTTTATACCATGGAATACTATGCAGCAGTAAAAAAGTGTTATGCCCAGATTTCAGGATCCCCAAGAAACCACATCAGGGAGCCAGCCAGTCCGATGCAAAAGCATAAGAGTCTTTATTCGAGCTAGCTCGGCTCCCCCACCTTGCCAACGCAGCGACAGGAAGCAGAGAGAGAGAGAACTCTGTGTGGAGAGGGGTTTTATAGGGGGTTGGAGTAAGGGGAGGAGAAAGGGCTGTGGCCTTGCCGATTGGCCAGGCGCAAGTCAGTGTCTTGTTCCTGGGTGTGGCTAGCAGAGGCTTAGACTTCCAGGAAGAAGCTCCTTGCCAAGCACATGGCCAAGGTAAGATGGAGCACTTACCCTGGGGCAAGATGGAGGGCGTAGCCCTCGCCCTTTCACTAACTTAACTCTGGTGCTGTGTCACATATAGAAATTTTTTGATATTTGCAACCATAGTAAAACAAAGATTTATATTTTTGATATTTATTTTATATATTTAAATGCCATTTAACAAAGATAAATCAACCAAAAAAATGATCTCACTCATATGTGGAATCTAAGGAACAAAATAAACTGTTGAACAAAATAGATCCAGAGACATTGAAGCATGGAATCAAATGTGGAATCTTAGAGGGAATGCGAGGGTGGGTGCATGGGTGGGAAATGGTCAACCAAGGAACTTGTGTAGCCCATGGACTACATAGCCCATGGACACAGACAATAGGGTGGTCCAGGCCTTAGTTGACGGACATAATGGGTCAATGGGAGAAAAAATGGGACATATATAATACTTTCAACAATAAAGTTTTTTTAAATAAAAAAAGAAGGGAGGAATAAGATTGCCACTAGCACCCACTTCAGCTGGGAAGACCAAAAAGATACACTGAACATTCCTGCAGGTGTGGTCAGTACAAGTGGCAGCTCAGTCCAATAACCTGGAAGGGGATGAAGCACAAAGTTACAGCCACAGTTGTCTGCCAATCAGTTTTCCTGACGAAACAAAGCCCAAAACCTAGCTGCTTCCACATATGCTCCAAGAGTTAGCAGTAGGCCCCAGAAGAAGCTGTGGCAGTGAGTTTCAGTTTGCAGAGCACATTATATGCAAACACAAGAATGGCTACTACAGAAATATTTTCTCTTTGAGTGATAGTAGCACCCTGTGTGCATTCCCATCGTCAAGTGGAGACACAAAGAGGAAAGATGCAAGGGTCTGCCAGTCACCATTACAGAAAAAGCAAGAAAGAGATGGAGGAGCCAGTCTGCTCCAGCTCACTCCACCACCACCCATTGCAGTTGCACTGCAGGCATGTCTGGCTGCGAAGGAAAGTACTGGAATTTCATGGATTTTGTTTTACTTTGTTATTTTTTTAAATCCTCATGGGAGTCTATTTTTCATTGATTTTAGAGAGAATGGGAGAAAGAGAGAAAAAAAAACATTGATGTGAGAAACATTGTACCTGGACTGGGGATCAAACCCACAACCTAGGTATGTGCCCTGACTGGGAATTTAACCCATAATCTTATTGGTGTATGGGTGGACACTCAAACAACAGAGCCACCAGGCCAGTCTGGAATTTCGTGGATTTTGAATGTCTACCCCCCCCCACATTCTTTTATGGTGTTGGCCCCCTGAGAAAGAGGTGACCTGAACACAGAGGAGATGCCACCTTTCCATGAAATGCAGGACATTTTCCACCACCCCTTAGAGATCTAAAAAGCTAAAGCAGTTTGAGAGAACTAAAAAATTTATGATTCAGTGCCACCTATAAGAAAACAATAGAAACACATTAACAATCTAATAGAGAAGTGCCACTCTTACATAAATGCCTAGACAGAGAATGAATTCATCAAATATCATGAATAAACAAGTTAATGAGGCAGCTCAGAAAGAAAATTAAAAATCTCCAGAAAATAAACTTAAAGACAAGGAAATATGTTACTTAAATTACAGAGAATTCAAGATTACAATACTGAAAAAATAACTCAATGAGATGCAAAACTCAAGCAAGTTTAATAAACTCCGAAAAAAGCATAAGCAACAAACAAAATGAGTACTTTACCAAAGAAATTAAAACATTGAAAATGAACCAAATAAAAATTCTGGAGATCAAAAACTCAATAAAACAGATAAATAAGTGAGCATAGGAAATAGAGCTGACCAGATGGAAGAAGTAATTAGTGATTTTGAAGATAGAAATACAGAAATGACACAGAGGGGAGAAGAGCAATATTTGGGAGTAAAAAGGAAAGAATTCTAAAAGTACAATCTGACTCCATCAGAAAGTTCATATAAAAAAAATAGTAATACTAGAACAAGAGAGAGAAGGGAATGGAGAGCCTATTCAAACAAATAGGTGATGAGAATTTTCCAAACCTGTGGAAAGATCTATATCCTCAAATACAAGAAGCAAACAGAACTCCTATTTACTTCAATCCAAAAGTCATTCTCCAAGGCACATTATATTAAAACTGTCAAAAATTAATGACAAAGAAAGAATTCTCAAGGAAGCCAGGGAAAAGAAGAAAGTAACCTATAAAGGAAAGCCCATTAAATTATCACCTAAATTCCCAATACAAACCCCACAAGCTAGAAGAGAGTGGAACCAAATATTCAAATCACTGAAAGAGAAATGACTAGGCAAGAATAATATATCCAGCAAAGTTATCTTTTGACTGTAGAGGAGAAATAGACTTTTTCAGACACCCAGAAGCTGAGGGAATTTATCATCACAACACCTTCATTGCAGGAAATATTCAAGTGGGGGGGGGGGAGGTTTCCTACCTGAAACAAAGAACAAAGAGTCACAAAACTATGAGTAAGAGCACCAAGAACCTTGCAACATACATAGGAATAATTTGTGACAACAAAACATAAAATGAAAGGGGGTTTAGGTCTGAATTTGCAAAGAAGTATGAAGATCATTCAAAATAAAAAGGATTACTTTATATATGAAACTTCCTTTTTCATAAACCATGCACTCAAAAATCCAAAACTGAGACACATAACTTAAAAAAAAACACAACAGAAGAAACAAGGGGAAAAGCATGGAATGCCACAAAACAAAAACAACAGACTGAAAAGCAAAGGAAAAAATGGGGGCACTGAGCTGCCAGAAAAGAAAAGATAAAATGGCTACTAAAAAATTCTCATACATAATTAATTACCCTAAATGTAAATAAACTAAATTCAACAATAAAAAGGCACAGAGTAGGAGAGTGGATCAACAAACAAAACCCAACCATTTGTTTCCTTGAGACACATCTAAGCTGCAAAGACAAAGATAGACTCCAAGTGAAAGGGTAGAAAATTATTTTCCAAGAAAATAACATCCACAAAAAAGCAGGTGTAACCATACCTATATCTGACAAAATAGATTTCAAGATAACAAGGGTAACAAGAGACAAAGATGAACATTTCATAATCACAAAGGGGACACGAAATCAAGAAGACATAGCACTTCTCAGTATATATGCATCCAATCAGGAAGCACCAAAATATATAAAGCAACTACTAACAGTAATAAAGGAAGAAACTGACAAAAACACACTTTGTAGTAGGGTACCTAAATA